TTCAATTATGTCGATAATTAACAAAATTATTCCCGAAAATTCAATTTTCTTGAGTCATTTTATAATAAAATTCTCTGCAAAATTCAATTATTTTCATAAATAACAATATTCATCACAAGAATTCAATTATTTTTAAAAGTAATAAATTTCATTCTTGAAAATTCAATTATTTTTAAAAATTCTAATAAAATCGTTCGCCAGAATTCAATTATTTTCATAAATAATAAAATTCTTCGAAGGGATTTAATTATTCTAAATTTTTTTTTTTGATAAAATTTTTTGTAAGAATTTAATGATTTTCAGTATACATTAATTTAAAAATTAAAAATTTGTTCGAAAACTCATTTATTGTGGGTAAAGTGATTGAAACTCGAAATTTGCAGGTTAGGAAACGCAGGGAAAAAAAGGGGCGCGCATGCGCGTTAGCGGATGCGCGAGCTTTTTTTCCCCTGCGTCATTTAATTTTTTCCCTCTCTTACGAATTCAAAATTTTATAAAAATAAATGTAAATAACAAAAAAGAAAAATAAAATGTAAATAAATAATGTACGAAACTAAAGTTCCACTTAACTTTAGACAGATATGTAACTTTTTGTTAAATTGAAATTTATAAACGTCTTTATATACTCTGGGAGTAATATGTCTCAAGGTGTATGGCGTGCGAGAGCCATTAGTGGATATATTTAATTGATGAAATGAGGGCTTCTCATCAGGTTAATTCGATATTCCGCAAGCCAATAATGTTATTTCAGTAAGTATGCCGTCACATGTATTACGATAAAGATATGACCCGCATGTTTTCCATTTCTGTGATCTTTGCAGCTGGCCCAAAACGGTTATATCAAACGTCAGATGCGCCTCCACCTCATTACTATTTAATATATCATTCAAGGTGATATTGTAAAGTGCTTCGCGCGAGCAAGATCTCTCGTTTTATTGCAGTGCAACAAGATTTTTTTTTATACTTATAATGTTCCGCAAACACACATAACATTCCGATAATATTTCCTAGAGGGCATAATTTCATCTGCATTTATATTTGCGTTAACAGCGCATCAGCGCAACAGCATGTCACTAAACTCACATAAATTATTCTCGGGTGAATTATAAATACGGAATCAAAGGGAAAATTAATTTTCCTTTTAAACTCCTGCGTGATAATTGCAATAAAATGTTCTTAACGTCCCCTTTTCTTTCTCTCTCTAGAAGCGCATGCGAACGAACGTCAAAATCTAATTACTTAATACAAACTAAAGTAAATTTTAAAAATTTTTAAAAAAATTTTAATTATTAAAATTTTATAAACTAAAAAAAATACAGGCTTTGCACTTATCAACTACTTCTATTTTTTCTGAGAATTTCCGCAACATTAAATTCGCTAATAATAAAAATCAAAAAACTATTCTCAAAAATTATACTCAAATTCTTTAAAACAATTCAATTATTTTCGAAAAATATTCGAAATTCAATTATTTCCATATTTAGTATTTTCATAAAATTTCGCAAAATAATTCAATTATTTAAAAAAAAAGTTGATAAAATTCGTCCAAAATTCAATTACGTAAATTCTTCACAATAATTCAATTTCTTTCACTAATAATAACATTTTTCATGGAAATACAATTATTTAAAAAAAATTTCTAATAAAATTCTAAGAAAGAATTCAATTATTTTTATTAATAAAACTCATCGAAGAATTTCAATTCTTTTAAATAATATTTTAAATAATCGAAAAATTCAATTATTTTCACAAATAAAGTTTTTCCACAAGAATTCAAATTACATAATATAAAATTTTCATAATATTTATTACATTTCGAAAAAATTAATTATTTAAAACAATGTTTATAAAATTCTTAAGAAGTATTCAATTATTTTCGAAAATAAAAAACATTTTCACTGAAATTCAATTCTTTTTAAACATTTTCATAAAATTTTTCACAATAATTTAATTATTTTCATAAACTATTGTTCTCGCGAATTCAATTATTATTTATATTCAATTGATATTTAAAATAATTGATTTCTTTAGAACAATTTTATTAAAATATTTGAAAATAATTGATTTCCTGTGAAAAATTTTAATATTTTTTTAAATAATTGAATTCTTCCAAAGAATTTGTAAAAAACATTTTTTTAAATAATTGAATTCCTACAAAGAATTGAATTCTTGCTAAGAATTTTATTAAAATTTTCAAAAATAATTGAATTCCTGAGAAGAATTTTATTATTTATAAAAGTAATTGAATTTGGAAGAAAAAATTTATTAGTTTTAAAAATAATTGAATTCTTCTGATGAATATTGTTATTTACGAAAGTAATTAAATTTTGCAAAGAATTTTATTAAAATGACTCAAGAAAGTTGAATTTTCGGGAATAATTTTGTTAATTATAGACATAATTGAATTCTTTCGAAGAATTATTTATGTAAATAATTGGATTCTTGGGGAGAATTCTATTAAAATCTGAAATAATAATAATTGATTTGTTCGAGGAATTAAAATTAAATTTTTGAGAATAATTACATTTTTTAACCAATTTCTGTAAAAATTGTATTAAAAATAATTGAAAATTCCTGTAATGAATTTTATTATTCATGAAAATAATTGAATAGTTACAAGAATTTTATTAAAATTTTCAAAAATAATTGAATTCCTGAGAAGAATTTTATTATTTATCAAAATAATTAAATTGTTACAAAGAATTTTATTAAAATTTTCAAAAATAATTGAATTTCTGAGAAGATTTTTATTATACTCAATTATTTTTATAAATAATAAAATTCATCTCAGGATTTCAATTATTTTTAAAACAATTTTACAGGAATTGGTAAAAAAATGTAATTATTCTTAAAAATTCAATTTCAATTCCTCGAAAAAATCAATTATTTAAAAAAAATGTTTTTTTCAAATTCTTTGGAAGAATTCAATTATTTAAAAAAATATTAGAGTTTTTCACAGCAATTCAATTATTTTTAAATATTTTAATAAAATTTTTTTGAAACAATTCAATTATTCTTTTAGATTTTAATAAAATTCTTCCTAATAATTCAATTATTTACATATAAATAATTGTTCGAAAGAAAACAATTATTAAAGATAAATAACAAAATTATTCCTGAAAATTCAATTATTTTGAGGAATTAAATAAAATTCTTTGCAAAATTCAATTATTTTTAAAAATAATAATTTTTTTTTCTTGTCAATTTAATTATTTTAAAAAATTCTACTAAAATCTTTTGCAAAAATTCAATTATTTTCATAAATAATAAAATGTTTTTTAGAAATTCAATTATTTTCAAAAAAATGTAATAAAATGCCACACAGACATTCAATTATTCTCAAAAATTTTAATAAAATACTTTGTAAAATTTAATTATTTTTAAAAACTTTTCGCAACTTACTGATTTTCGATATTTACTATTTTTATAAAATTTCCAAACAATTTAATTATTAAAAATTTTTTTTGTAAAAATTTTCGTAAGAATTCAATTCTTTTCATGAATAATAAAAATTTCTCAGGAATTCAATTATTTAAATTAGAATTTGTATGAAATCAGTTTTTTTAAACTACTTTTTTTTTAGTTTAAAAAGATACTTTTTGCTACTTGATTAAAATTAGTTATCAAGTGGAAAAATGTGAAAATCATTTTCAGAAAAAAAATCGAAAAATCCCAGTTGAAATGGTGCACTTTCAGGAGAAACACCAACATCGCACGCGGTAAAATTGCCCATTACGAAGAATAGAATTAAATTTCCGGATCAAATTAGTTTAAACAAATTCGACAATAATACTACTTTGGCGTTATTTAACGGAAAAGATTTGTAATCACGAGATTGAATTACATAAATCAGAAGCATAAAATTGTACAGTTTTACCGCAGAGATTGGAATTATAAGCAGCTCGGGGAATTTTTTTTCGCAAATGTTACAATCACCAGACCACAACTTAGTCGTTAAACATCAAAAAGTAAATTATTACAATAAATAATAAAACTAAAGTTACATTTCTATCAATTTTCCAAGCACTTCCGTTTCTCCTATACAAAACAAAAAAATCTAAAACCTTTTCAAACTCCTAATTATTGGACTAATTATTTTTAATTTAGGTTAAAATAGCCAATTATTTTAAATTTTCTTCGCTTTTTTTTCACAATATTCTTTAAGATAATACAAGAATAAAATAAGAAGAATAAAAAGAGTAAAATAAGAATAATAAAAGGAATAAAATATAAAGAATAAAAAGAATAAAATATAACGATTAAGGAGAATAAAATATAAAGAATAGAGAATAAAATATAAAGTATAAAATAAGAATAAAGATATCAGAAAGTTATTATTATTCTCTTGGTAAAAAAGAATACAATATAGCTACCGTTATTTCATTTTCAATTTTATATTTTATATACAATATAGAGAAAAAGCGGAAAATAACAAAAATATTCTTGTCAATTAATATTTTCTCGGTCTACTTTAATGGTTTCGTTTAAAACAAAATTACATAGTTGAACAAAAGATTTCTTCATTTAATTCAGGTCTAATAACTACCTTAGCGAAATTTTTTTTTTTTCTTTCAACAGACAAGTAAAACTTTTAGTCAACCGACCATGAATTGTTACTTAGAATTTATTTGTCACAATTACAATCATTATCCTTATAATTTCACGCAGTCATGCTATTTTCGAGAATCAAGATCATATGATGCATATGCGCATACACTCACTGGGAAAAAAATTATTTTTGAATCAAATATAAATTCTATTTTGTGGTATGAACTTTATTTTTCGGTTAATCCAAACTCCATAAAGAAATATTTTATTTTTTAAGTTAAAGATGATGATATTTAGAAACCTGTAACTTTCTACATATCTTCCTTTATATAAAAATCTTCCTTTATTTATATTAGAACACATGTCTTTGTTCTCAAACCCTAATTTTATTTAGCTCTAGATTTCTCTACTTAGTGGCTTTTGTAAATTTTGAAATACAATAAATTACTCACCGAAAATAATGGTAGGGACTAATAAATTTTCCAAATATTCATCAAAGAGGAGACTCACCTGGAACAAAAAGGAGAAAACATACTATAAATAATCAATTCTAAGATAGGAAATTATAATTATTATAAATATTAATAATATAAATATTAATAATCATATTTTTAAACTAAATCTTTGCACTCGATAATTAATTTTAAAAAAGTATCAAAAAGTAGCTTTAGGACTGAAAAAAGTAGTGAAAAAGATAAGATTTAATTTTTACAGTCCAATTATGTTTGATTCAAATTAAATTTGTTTTATCAGTTTATATTATAAAGCAGCAGTATTATGTTTAGTAGTTACATAGTAGTAATCGGCAGTAATTTAACACGATGCCCCAAGTAATTATCGCGATAGAAAATTTTTGTCATCAAAAAGAGTTGACGCCTTTCCCGCATCCTGCAAACATCCCGTTACCTGCATCGAAAAATACAGTAATCATTGAAGCGACGTTGGAAAGAAGGGACGTTCGACAAATAAATATGGAGGTATATTATAGTAGCTTGATGGGTTCGTTGAGGCAAAAAATTGATTGTTCGCGCATGAGATGCTTTCTTCAGGCAGATTTTTACACCTGCAGAAACTATCAACTACTATATCTCTAGTTCCTTCGAAAATAGATTAATACTACCAACACCTGCGCGACTATATATCTCGTCTCTTTCATTTACGGCAAAATATATCGACGACGCGACTGAAAAAACACAAAAGTTACTCGGGAAAAAACGTGTCTAGAAAAATTAACTCTACAATAAAACTCAACAAGTCACTCTGAATTAGTTTTCAAGACAAAAACTTTAATTCACTGAGGAAGCAGAATACACCTTGGTCTAATTTAATAAATAATTCATGTAAATTTTCAAAATTTAAACGAACGGAATTTTTATGAACTGCTGGAGAAAGAATGAATAAAAAATTATTTAATTCCTAATATACTTTTTAAGATATTTCAAACTTCGCACTCAATAATTAATTTCAAAAAAGTAGCATTCAAACTAAAAAAACTAAAAAAGAAATAAAAAAAACTTTTAAAAAAAGTAGTAAAAAATTGGTTATTGAAAAATTAAACTTGACGACCAAAAAATCTCATTTTAGACACATCACAAAACTGACAAGAATTCCATTCTTTATTTTATTTTTCCGACTTTTTCCTGATTTTCATAAAAAAATATTTACTTCTTTCTTATCCTGCTAATAAATTGAATTCCTCCAACGAATTTTATTATTCATGAAAGAATTTAAATATTTATAAAAGTAATTTAATTCTTGCGAAAAATTTTATAAAAGAATTTTAAATAATTGATTTCTTTCGATTTATTTTTATGTGAATTCTAATTTAAATAATTAAATTCCTGACAAATTTTTATTACACATAAAAAAATTGAATTCTTACAAAGATATTTACAAAAATTTTTTTTAAATAATTGAATTCAGTTTGAAAATTTTATGAGAATAGTAAAGATATGAAAAATCATTGAATTGCAAAAAGTTTTTAAAAATAATTAAATTTTACAAAGAATTCTATTAGAATTTTTGACAATTTTAATGTGTATGTGGTAATTTAAAAAATTTTTTTTTGAAATAATTGAATTCCTAAAAAACATTTAATTATTTATGAAAATAATTGAAATCCTAAAAAACATTTTTATTATTTATGAAAATAATTGAATTTTGCAAAAAATTTTATTAAAATGCCCCAAGAAAATTGAATTTTTGGGATTCAATTATATAAATACAAAAATAAATAATTTAATAAATAATTGAATGATTTTTAAATAATTGAATCCCTGTAAAACATTTTATTTATGGAAATAATTGAAATATTGCGAAGAAATTTATAAAAAATTTCGAAACAATTAAATTCCTGTGAAATTTTTATTATGTTATAAAAATAATTGAAAATTTGCGTAGAATTTTACTAAAACAAAAATTTTTTTTTTTCAAATAATTGAATTCATTTAGGAAATTTTATAAAAACAGTAGATATTGAAAATCATTAAGTTAAGAAATATTTGAATTTTGGAGAAGAAATTCAATATTTACAAAGATAATTGAAATCTTTCCAAGAATTTTAATAAAAATTTAAATTTTGGAGAAGAATTTTGCTATTTATAAAAATAATTGATATATTAACAAGAGTTTTAAGAAAAATTTTGATAATAATTGAATTTTTGTGATAAATATTGTTGTTTATGAAAATAATTGAATTTGCAGTGAAATTTATCAAAATTCCTGAATATAATTGAATTTTGGCGAAGAATTTTGCTATTTATAAAAATAATTTAAATCTTGCCATGAATCTTAATGAAAATTTTGAAAATATTTGAATTTGTATGAAGATTTTTATTACTTTTGAAAATAATTGAATTTTGAAAAGAATTTTATTAAAATGCCTCAAGAAAATTGAATTTTCGGGAATAATTTTGTTATTAATCGACATAATTGAATTCTTTCGAAGAATTTTATTAAAATATTTGAAAATAATTGAATTCCTGTGAAAAATTCTAATATTTTTTTTTAATAATTGAATTCTTCAAAAGAATTTGAAAAAAACAAATTTTTAAATAATTTTTTTTTCGAGGAATTGAAATTAAATTTTTAAGAATAATTATATTTTTGGACCAATTCCTGTAAAATTGTATTAAAAACAATTGAAATTCTGCGATGAATTTTATTATTTATGAAAATAATTGAATTATTGCGAAAATTTTTATTAAAATGTTTAAAAAGAATTGAATTTCTGTGAAAAATTTTGTTACTTCGAAAATAATTGAATTCTTCACAAGAATTTTATAAACATTGTTTTAAAAAATTAATTTTTTCGAAATATAATAAATATTATGAAAATTATATTTTAAATAATTGAATTTTTCGATTAATTCATATTTAAAATAGTATTAAAAATAATTGAAATTGTTCGATGAGTTTTATTATTTATGAAAATAATTGAATTCTTGTATAAAATTTTATCAAAAAATTTTTTAAAAAATTGAATTTCTATGAAAAATGTTAATATTAGTGAAAGTAATTGAATTATTGTGGAGAATTGTATAAAAATTTTGTTACATAATTGATTTTTTCAAAATTTATTTGAAAATGCTGTTTTAAATTAATTGAATTCCTGTGGAAATTATATTATTTATGAAAATAATTGAATTTTGGACGAATTTTATAATTTTTTTTAAATAATTAAATTGTTTTGAGAAATGTTATGAAAATACTAAATATTGAAAATAATTGAATTTGTAATATTTATTGAAAATAATTGAATTTAGAATATTTATTGAAAATAATAAAATATGAAAATAATTTTTGAGAATAGTTTTTTGATTTCTAGTATTAGCATATTTAAAGTAGTGAAAATTTTAAAAAAACGAAGCTTGTTATTTTACGAGAGAAATAGTTTTGAAATTAACTTAAAAAAACTTGTAAATATTAATTAAAGTCAATTTTTTGAGGTTATGTTACGCACCGGTAGAAAAAATGGCGCAGGGAAAAAAAAGTCGCGCGCAGGCGCAAAGCGGCTGCGCGAGCCTTTTTTTCCCTGCGCCATTCTTTTTTATCCCAGTTTTAACAATATTTAAATAAAAAGAATTAAAATTTTCAAGTTGAGAAAAATTGAAAATTAATTGCTTCGAGAATAAAATGTTGCAAAGAAAAATTAAAAGAACATTGAACACGAATGCAACAATGATATATACATGTTGATATAATCTTTGGAATCGCGTAAGAATTAATGGGTGTAGGATAATTATTAAATTATCTAGCAATGTGGTAATTTAATTGTTAAAGCGTATTACACTTGCAACAATAAATGAAAACGGATGAAATAATGATTAACGGTAAGCTAATTACATTATACATTTGCCTTCCTATATATATCAATGACCATCAGAATTATAAAACACTAGAAAATTTTTTAGAGAAAAAATAACACGTAAATTCTCACAATTTCTTAATTAATTCTTCAGAAACTAAATGAATCCATTCGTTACATTAAAAAGCAATTTTCCATATCTAAAAACACGTTTCCGACCTTCGTCAAAAAAAAAAAAAAAATTCATTTACTTCTTATCTAATTGAAATTTATTTTTACAAAATATTAGTAGCGTATTACAAAATGTATATATTCTTAAATAACTTAATTTATTTTTTAGCTACACTTATTTTTTCACACTTTTTTTAAAATTTACTTTTTATAATTTTTTTTTTTTTAATTTTGTTATAGGTAAATTTTTTTAGAATTTATTTTTCCATAACTTACTTTTTCCGTAATTTATACTTTTTCTTAACTTGATTTATTTTTTTATAACCTAATTTATTTTTTTACTTAAAGTAAATACTTGAAAGTAAAATATTACGAAAGAAAATATTGAAAAATTTGAAAAGCAATGAAAAAGGCGTTAATTTGCTTAATGACGAAAATCTGCGCATATACAATTAGGTACGAAGTATAAAATAAAATATATTCTATAAATGACGGCACACATCAACGTATATATCGCATCGTTAAGTGAACGACATACACAAAGAGAGAAATAAATTTGCACATAATTATTGTGTCACTTAACTGTTCGAACAATGTGGAGTTGATGAGTAACCGGTTAATTATTAACTGTCACAGTTCTAAAATGATAAAGCTCCCAATTACGCAATTAGACCAAGTGACGTGGTTCTTTTTATAGAAAATTATATTATGTGAAAAAAATAAACTTTTCTACTAATTTATCCTCGATTAAAGAAATACAAAGTTTTTTATTTTGCAATTTACACTAAATTTCACGAACAGGAAAAAATTTTAATACGTGATGTAAAATTTTATTATAATAATGTCCCTATTAAAGTATTGAAGGATTAAATGAACGACGATTTTTTTAATGGTTTATTCGAATTTGAATTTTATTTTCATAAATAATAAAATTTTTCTTAGAAATTCAATTATTTTCGAAAGTAATAAAATTTTTCACAGAAATTCAATTATTTACAAAAATTTTTTTTTAAACTTTCGTCATGATTTCAAT